TGTGTGTGTGTGTGTTACTTTTTTCCCTGAACCATTTGAAAATGTCAAAGAGCAAGGCATTTCATCCAATAATGTACAAGGTTTATGCTAAGAATATGGAATTTCTCCTAGGTTATCATAGTACCTTTATAACACCTAAAAAAAGGAGCATGAATTCAATGAGATAATCTAATATATAGTTCATATTGAAATATATCTAATTATCTTGGAAAGGTCTTTTATATTCATTTGTTGCTGAATCCAAGATTCAATCAAGTTTCACACATTGTATCTGGTTGTTAGTCTCTTAAACTAGTATTACTCCCCATCTTTGTATTTTTATAATATTGGCTTTTTTGAACAGTCAAGGCCTTATAGACAATCCCTGAATTATGGATTTATTATTTCCACATGCCTAGACTGAGGTTAAACATTTTAACTTCTGTATGGCAGAGGATAAAAAGTGGGAAGGAGGGCCTAAGGTCAGAGTAACGGGAGAAAGGCACAAAGTTGAGTAAGACGCCAAAGAATGGTTGGTCTCTGTCCCGTTGAGTGAGGCAGTTGCCACTGGCACAGTCCCAGAGCAAGGATGCAATCAACGGTTTTCTCTCAGCACCAGCTACCAAATCCTGGCCCCACTGAATAGGGGAGGACCTGTGAAAGTGCTAGGAAGTTAAACATTTTTGGCACAAATATTACAGAGGTGATGATATAAACTTCTTATTCTGTCGTATCAGGAGGCATATAACAGTATCAGCTTGTATCGCTATTGGTAAAGTTAGGTTTGATTGCTTAGTGAAGGTGGAGATGTCCCTCTTACATTTCTTTATAATTTCTTCATATGCATGCATGTCTGGACAACATATAATAATGTTTAGTACAGTTTTAAACTTCAAAAAAATGGCATCATACTATATCAATTCTTCTAAAGATTGCTTTCTTACACACGTCATATTCGTGAAATTCACCCATGTTTAAAAATTGGCTCTAGTTCATTTATCTTTTGCTGCTGAATAACATTCTGTTACATGAATGTATCTGACTATTCACCTACTGTGGATATCTAAGCTGCCTCCAGATTTTTGTTTGTTACAAACAATACTGTTATGTTCATTCTTGTATGTGTCCCCTTGAACATATGTGTTAGTTTAAGTTACAGTTTAAGTTGTTTACCTTCCAGGTGGAAAGGTACGTACAAACTTAATTTTGCCAAATTGTTTTCCAGAACATATAATTTACATTCCTATTTAACTGAACTTTATTAAATGCTGCCCTTTGATAGAGACATTCCATTTCCACTTTAAAAAAAAAAAAAGTTTTATAAGAAAAC